GCCGGTGACACTTAAGAGGTACAGATCGTATGGTAATTTTAGCGTCGAAGTATAGAATTATTGAATGTATTATATTGTTATTGTATGAGGGGGACGCGATGAAAATCATGATTGAATATTGGGTCGTGAATATTGAAACTTTGAGAAGCACTGATATAAATCAATTGAATTAACAATAATTTGGAATTTTTAACGGAAATTGTTCTATGAATTAAACAATTATTTTTTAAAGATTTATAATCCACAATCTCGTACCGTAAGTAACTCTTGGAAAATTCAGATTATTATAAATTAATTAGTGGAAGCAAAAATGCATTCTATTATGATTCTATATAATAGAGAATACAAAAAAATTCTTTGTAGCCTTTAAATTCATAACAAGCTGATTACAAAATTGCTTAAGAGACCATTTGGATGATTTAGGAGACCATTAATTGTCCTTTCATTTTCACAGCATCAATTCATCTCATCGTTAACCAACCATTTTACAAACGGTTCTTTTCTTGGCTCCTTAAACTTTCCGCTCCCTTTCTCATTCCCGCTAAAACATATTTACATAATCTTTCGTGAGTAGAGCTATTAAGGAATTTCATTCACAAATCCTGTACCTTATTTCTAGTGTCTACTCAAGATGTCGAAATTCCTCTCTTCATTTTAAGTTTTTATCTATCTTTATCCGAAGCTGATAACATTGTTTGGATTCTAACTAGTTGTACAATTTTATTCTAATATGTTAAATCAATTTTAATATTAAAACTATTATATTCTTTATATACAAACTATCTCAATAAAGGTCTAATTCAACCTTAAAATTAGATTTATTTGAATCTATTCTAGCATTATTCTCAGGTTCTATTCATGAGATCAATATACAAAAAAATAATCATAAAATCTTCTAAACTTTAGATATTTGTAATTGTTCATGTTTGTAAGAAATGTAGAGTTCTTTGACTTGTTCCAAGATCAGTCAGTGCTTATGGGAGACACAAGAATTTTGAGACATAATCTGTTCATGTTCATTTTTATTCAGAAACTTATTTATAATTCTCACTTTTAAAGGAATATCGGTACTGACTCTGCGTTAAATTGCCAATTGGTATTGATTCGAATAGAGTAATGAAATAAGAAAATTCATAACCCGGGAGCGGTCACGCGGGGTGCAGATTCACGGAATTTTTAATTCTGGGAACACTATTTGTTTGTTATTAATGATCTTGCCAGTATCCTCCTATATGACAGTCTTCATGGAAACTAAAATGTATTTGTCACATATTCCCTCTTTTTGGGAATAGCAAACGTTTACTTACAATCTTAATGTACTTTTGGCGACTAAGTTCCAAAGCGACCACTTTTGCTGCAAAATATTTTCTGTGAATATACTACATTTTTCTCCTGTTAACAGGAGTTTCGATAGCTGTGCTGTACGACACATTATGGATTATAAATGCAAATGAAAAGAATATAAAAGTATCCAAATGGGCATCAGTGATTCTATTGAATTAAGTTGAAACTGATCAAGCAAGGAAAGAACCTGTGTTGAAGTAATGGATATTAAGGTATCCGACTACGTTCGGAACCGTGATTTTGCAAAAGCGTATAAATGGATAATATTTATGATATTTAGTGTCAATTTGATTAGAAAATGTATATAAAATTGTTTTAAGAATAGTATTGCAATAAAAATTATTTAAGTACAATATTTTGACAAAAAATGAACAAAGAATGGCCCATTTTCAAAATATTCTCTTTTTGTGAAAAATGCGTCTATTATAATAATATTTTGCCTGTATATATCTCAAAACTCTGTACAGAGGCTCAACTGGAATTTTTGAAATATATAATTTAGAAGTGGGTTTATCCATGTTTTATGACAACACAGCGGAGAAATTTGAAGCAAAAAAACGCTGATAATTATTTAAATTGGTTGTAACTCGGAAAAAAAATGTGAATTTTTCAAAACCGTAGTTGAGCCTCTGTACAGAGACCTGAGCTATATACAGGCAAAATATTATTATAATAGAAGCATTTTTCACAAAATGAGAATATTTTAAAAAAAGGTTGTTCTAAGTTAATTTTTTACCGAAATAATGTATTTAAATAATTTTTTTTGTCAAAATGTCCTTATATAAAACCGTTTTATACATGTATTCTAATCTAAGTGACACTAAATATCATGAAAATTATCCGTTTATGTGCTTTTTTAAAATCCCGGGTCCGAACGTAGTCGGATATCTTAATGATGATAGTGAAAGTAAATTTCATAAAAGCGATGGACATGCAACGTTTGAATTGAAAGAAAAAATTTTCAAATGCTACTTAAGAACTTCATTAAAAAAAATACGAAGCTGCAAGTGTACTATAATGTGTGCTGCACCCTGTCAAAAAGACATAACTAAGAAGATGTTCATAATGCTATTTGGCAATCGTAAAATGGCAATAAAACTGCAATAACTTGAACAAAACTGGGAGTTTTGCTTGAAAATACCATTCCTTTAATGTTAACGAAAATTGTATGGGATTTATGCCCTTTATTTAAGGCAGACACATTTGAAACATTTTAGTTCAGTTTACATGGATTTTTTTTCTTAAATTATCAAAGAAAACTTTAAAAGTTTTTAAATGTAGGTCTCTGAACTAAATTATTTACTGGAATTACAATTTTTATCGTGTACAATAGCAATTATTATTAAAAAAAAAATGCTGTGTGGAACGCCACGCGATAGAAATGAAACTTTTTTGGTGACGTTGGAACATATTGATTATTTGTTCTAATATTCCAAACTGACCGTGTACATGTCACAGTCACCTAATTTTCATGAAAGGTATTCGTGGTGAAATGAGTCTCTATGATACCAAATCCAAAGTAGGAAGATGTGCTGAAATTTCTGGGCATACCAAACCATCATATTTTGATAAATTTGGTATGCCTTTCCTACTTAAACTTTGTCGGCAATTGTAGTGCTTTAATATCTTCTTAATTAATTCCCGGTAAAATATTTTGTGCTCAGTAACAGGCGTTCTCAAATCATCTCTAAACCATAATCTGTCACAAATCGAAAACCCGTGACCGAAAGGATTATCAATAAATCGCTTTTGAACATCTTTGTGAGCATTTTTATGGGAATCATAGTCTTTGACTTTCGACTCACATGCATCAGTTACAACACGCACTAGACTTGTTGAGGGCTCTGTAGTTAATAGCACAAGGTGGTTCACAAAGTCCGTATTAATCTGTGCTGTCATTAGAAGAGTCTCAATAGCATTTTTCCATCCCTTAAACTGGGCATTAAGAGAGTAGTTTCCAGTGCTTTTTTTTCCGTGCTCGATCTTCTCTCATGTACTCTGATGGAGATTCGGCACTAGCACTTGATGAATCTGCACTATTTTTTTGTCACTTTTTCGACTGGACTTGCTGCTAGTTTTTTTTTCTTTCAAGAAACTCTTTTCCTCTTTGTGCATTTGATTTAGGTAGTTTGACTAGAATTAATAATAATTCAACGCAAATGAAAATTAAAGAAATAAATTAAAAACCGAACACCTCTCCATATAGCCAACAATCTAAAGAAAATTTCAAATAGGCACGCTTTTGTTGCGAGAGCTATTTTGGCTACACCGTAATGCTCACAATGCAACTGATACGACCACTGATAATGTTCCCGGGTATGAGGAAAAATGACCCCTAATCGGAAGGTGGGTAAGTTGACCAGTCGGAGACGTGGTCAGTTATCCAATTTTTCACCGATATGAAGCAAGTCACGCGGTGTCCCCACTCCTCCTTTTCCTCCTCTCGCTCTCTCCTTACCATGGGGACGTTTCGGGGGGGAGGGGGGACTACTTCCGTTCGCTTTTTCACTGTTATGCAAAACTGGAAAATTTTCTCATTCATTATCGAGCCCAAAAATGTTTCACTTCAAAAAGATTGGGGTGACTCAGTCACCCCGCACATTCACTAACGTTAGTATCAAGTGCGCTCTTTCTCCAGGGTTAAGAGCGCTTCATGTAGCTTCAAAATGCAATGTGAAAAACCAATTAGTCGTCTATATTATTGAATTCATAGTAAGAAATATATAAAAAAAGAAGAAAAAAAAACTGATGTTATCTTTGTTTTTAACCTATTTGTATAAATATTTAGAAAAAAATACGCTGCTGTAATAATGTATTTTACAGTACAGAACAAATTCCTTTAAAATAAATGTAAGAAATGTAACAATGAAACTCACAAAAACAGAAAAGAACGTTTATCAAAATATATGCTTAGCAAAAGTATTTCTATAGAAATCGCTGTGAAGTATTTGCTTACCATATTTCGCCTTAGGAAAACAGGTCAAAAATTGGAAAGGAATATAAATCTTATCTCTGGATTTTCTTGAATATTAAGAGAATGAAATACTGTTTTTTCAATAAAATATTTTGAAAAGCAAGTATTTTTTTTTTCTGTATATAGTTTACGTCATATAAACTTCCCTGTTAAGGAATAGGTTTGTCCTTCCATTCAACCAAAATCAAGAAAAAAATTTTAAGAACTTATATGATGATGCATGTTAGTTTTCAGAGATGGTATTAGAGTTACAATGGCGACTCCTTCTGCAAGTCGCAAACAAATACCAACAAAGGAGAGGAATAAAAGCCCTTAACGGCTGATCCGAATAGGGATTCCTTTCGTCTCAGTCGTCTAAGGCACGCATGTTGTAGCTGCGGACTGGTATATATAATAAATCGATTATTACTTAAGTCACCAAAGAAAAATTTTATTTTAGTTACTTTTTGTAAAATAGTTACAATTAATATAAATATGTATTTATGATTATATGATAGAATCACAATATTAAATGACAAAATAGAATGCGATTTTCCGTGAAATTTTCCATTTTCCTTTCTATATATGGTGTTGAACTATTTTGTTATTTGTTTGTTGTTATTTATTCATCAAATATATATAAATTTAATTATTCTGATAAAATAGTACAGTGAAATAGAAGTCACATTTTCAGAAATTAGGCCATCCCAGATGGGATTCCAACTCACGACCTTTGGATTAGAAGTCCAACGCACTATCCTTTGTACTACAGGGGCACACCAAACAATTTTCTTTTCTATATATGCTGTTGGACTCTTAGGTTTTGTTTGTTACCATTTATTCATTTTTTAATTTAATAAATGAACTAATATTTGAAAAAAAATGTATTAACATCAATTGTCACCTCTTAAAGTTTAAAAAAAATTATATTTGAACTTGAATGGATAAAAAGAAAGTATTTTATTAACGATAGAAAAATTATGAACAAGATATATATATATATATATATATATATATATATATACATTTGAAGAAAACATGGGATTTCTAAACATATACTTAAATATTTACCTCACTATTCATTGAAAATCGTTTATGAAATACATA